TGAAGCCACTGACTTCGCTGCAGGACTTCACCTCTCACCAAATCATCACGGCGACGAGAAGGCAGCAGCATTACCTTTCCTAACTCTTGAAACAGATGGGTGATGTGAATGAGAGTGATTCTGACCATGTCACAACAAGAGGTATAATACGGCCTCTGCTTGTCATTTTCTTTCTTACTATTTGCCCCAGATGCATCAGAAGATCCAGATGATGCACATGATCACTGGAAGCCAACCTCATGTTCGAAGAACTAATGGAACTTGATATACTATGAGAACCAGTGGCTCGGCCCAGATCTCGATACAAGTTTATAAGGTCAAAAAACTGAGATTCAATGCTCCATCCGGACGTCCTCCTCCTCAGTAATGGATCAAGAAACTGCCTGAAAGAGTTGAACCTTTGCTCTTCAGTTTCATTAGCATCCACTTCTGCCTGTTGTGAATCAGCAGATGAACAAGCCCCATTATCCTCAATATCAGGCTTTGTATCTTCAAGTAGAGCAATTTGCCACAGAACCTCACGATGCACATGTCCAATGTCTTCCAGAACATCTTTACTGCCATTTCCAAACTCTGTCAGCAATGCAGTCACCCAACGGTTATCTTTTGAGGCAGCAAGAAACAGAAGGAACTCAACCAAGAAAAGTGAAGAAAAGATGCCACTATCAGTTGTCATCTTTGGATCCAGCAATAAATGTCCAGAAGCTGCATCAAACCCTGCTAGTGCTTTCTTCAAGTGCTCTCTAAGAGAGGAGCAAAAGGCACGTGCTAGAGGAGCTGAGTGATGCTGAGCAAACCCCTTAAAGACCATGGTGCTATGTAAAGCAATAGCATGCCATCTGAGGATTGTGCAATAACAGGTCGTAATAACAACTTCAGCAAAGCTTCAATTCCCAACTTTTTCCACGAACAAGCGACACGTTTCAGAATTTTCCATCATCCTGTGAACCAATACCATCAAATGAAAGACGCATAGCTGTAAGAATTGATCATCAGTTATCCCTTCTGCAGCTGAATCTGCTGTACCAACAAGGCAGCAATGTCCTTCATTTTCTTTGTCTGCAGAATCTGTTTCCATTGCAGTACCCTCGTTATCTTTTCCAGAAGATCCCATACCAATACTATCCCCAAATGATGCAATCTTATGGATGATTTCAATAATCATATCAACACCAGTACTTCGCAGCGAAGACACATGACGCAGAAGTTCCTCCACAGCATTTGCAAGAGGAACAATGGCTTCATTCATTGCCAGGACATACTTTTTACTTGTGAAGATGTCAACAAGGAATCGCAGTGCTGAAGTTTTCTAACAGCCTCTAGGCCCTTAGCATTGAGACAAATAGCACCAAGACCATTAGGAATACATGACAAAGCCCTTGAAGAAGGAAACACTCGAGATACAACAGAAGATAAAAAAGCATCAGGAAGACCCATCTCATGCAGAGCAGAAAAACATGTGGGATCTTTGTGGATTACTTCACTCATAACAGTAACAGCAGAGTAGTAAATATCACCTCCAAACTTGTCTACATTCCTGAATATCAACACTAGTGTTGCAGGTAAAGAACTGTCATGTGAGTGTTGAGATCTGGTAGAGTTTGAAGCAGAATATGTTGCGGAACCCAGGGCCTTGAGCGAGACCTTTATGAGCCTCTTTTGGAAGGAAAGCTTATCAGTGTTAAGTCTTGAGCTTTCACCAGTGACCATCAAATCATCATTTTCTCTAACCAAACCTACGATTCTGTGCACCTCTATCTGTAGCCTCTGAGCTAAAAGCTCAACACACCGCCCAACTCTTTAAAAAGTGACACAGCTGAGCTGCTATAGTCCATAAGCTTCTGAAGGGTTTTCACAGCAAAACAGACAAGATGAATGTGTGCCGGATCAGAATCCTCCAACAAAGGCAAGAATGTAGGTACCATGCCAGAACCCCTAATATTACTCCCAGAAGTTGAGGTTGAAACCACATGGAGCAGATAGAACTGAAGAAGTGCCTCCACAAAGGCAAGGGACGATGGATCATTAGAACTTTTTAATGACAAAATAGCCCGTTGAAGCACATTCAAAAGTATCATGCGGTTCCCACCAGCAAAACTTATACTAGATCCACTCAATATCCGTGCCCGTTCATGAGATGATGTATATGCTGCCAATTGAGCTCCCAACGCAAGCATTGCTAATGTTCTGAGAGATCCAGACACAGTTTTCTCAGATCTCACAACCCTAATTAACTCGTTTGTATATTCTGGTTCATTAGCAAAAAAGGACACAAGTTCATCATGAGCATCACTGGACTGGACCAGAACAATAAAAGCAAGAAGGCAAATCCTGCTATAAAAACTGCATATTCTTGGTGACCGGAAGGATCGAGCATATCTAATTCTGGTGAGCAAAGAAAATCGAAGATCTGAAGGAACACTATACTGCTCAATACACTGCTTCAACAAGAACAAATCATCTTCTTTCCGCAAATGCATATCTGGCATATGAATAACTCTCAAATTCGGGGAATCCTTATCACCACTGTGTTCCTTAGATTGGGCACTAGATCCATGCAATTCAAAATACAGAGTAGACCCAATGCGGTAATTAGATTGATCACAACCATTCTCTACATCAGAAGGAAACAAGCACAAAGCTTCATCTTGGGTTTTCTCATTTGCAATAATACAAGAATACAATCCCAAGCCCTCCTCCTTGCTTCCCCATCCCTGTGCTAGGGATAGGAGATAGCTGTTAACTGAACCACACCCAACCATCTTTGCGCTTCCATGAAGCTTAGACGGATTTATTTTTACAAGTGCAGAAAGAGTTTCCAACGCAGCTATAAGAATCTCAGGATCTGTTGAAGCTAATAAAAGCTTGAAATGCTGAAAAGAGAGGACAAATATCAGAAATAGAAAATTTTCAAACATTAAAAGAAAAATTTTACACGGCTAAAATAAAAGGGTGAAGATACAGAATTAAGACTTCCTAGAACAGAAAATACTTTCTGAACAACTCACCTCTAAGCCATCGAATGAACTCTTGTTAGGACAATTCTCTAAAATTATTTGCATCACCCGTAATATTTGCATAATTGCATATTTTGGTAATGGACTTTCATCTTCTAGAATCCTATCAGACAATGTCAAATCATTTCTACATGACAAATACACCTTGAAGTACGTATCAAAATGAAGAAACAATGGTCTCCAGTGATGGAAATTGCCCTGAAAAATAAGATGGATGTTTATATTTTAGTGATAGAAAAAATAAAATACTTTGTTCAAAAAATTAGACTGATATTACCTTATTGTACTCCCACCGAAAGCCAGAGAGCGGTATTCCTATATCTTGTAATGGACACTGTATGACCTTCTCAATGAAGGCTTTGATCTTGGGAGGCTGAAATCCATGGATCACAAAATTCAGATTACGTTTACTGGCCACTAGGTAAGGACAGAAGAGCAGAAAAATAACAAAACACGCCCCCTAGACCTTGTGCTTCCAATGGAATTAGAGAACAAAAAAAAAAGAAAAGAATTCGAGTTGAAAGTAAAAGAAACGCAGCTGATCCAAATTTGAAATCTAGAAATCTCCTATGCATTCATATCTCGTAAAATTTATTTTGAACCTTCCTTCCCTACGCCTCTCCACCTTTATCGCTTTAGGTTAGAATGAGTAGAACAATGGACTTTGAAAATAATGTGTCTAATCCGGTTTAGCTGAACAGAGGTGAAATAACTATTGACAAATAATAAACAAAAACAGAAAGCAAATAGGAGTGGACCAGCTCAAATTATTCAGAAACTTGTCATATCTAAAAAGTAACCGCACGAAAAGAGTGTGTGGGTTTGTTGATAGAGACAAACGAAAAATATTTCACTCAGCCACAAAAGGCAAGCACCTTGCCACCGTCAAAAAAGTCACCAGATGGCCAGAGGCAAGAACCTTTATGGCATATCAATCTCGCCTCCACCATTAAACTGCATGGGATCTTATGAAGTACTGTATTATTGAATATTAATTTCGTTGACGTGTAGCGATTCTCGAGACAAACTGAAGGAGCTTATTTCCCTGATAGTTCTCTAGGATATTTCACATTCTAAGTGCACATCTAGAACAAATAAGATGTCATGCTTGTCATGACAAGCTACACTATTAATTTCCCTACTTGAGCTCGAAAATGTCAAATCTACATTTGGGAGCCGCAGGTATCATTGCTAGGTGGGCTTCCCCAAAATTAAAAGGGGGGGGAAAAAAGAGAACAAAAATAGGGAGAGTAAAACCGATGCAATGATAAAAGCAAGTAATGACAGACAGTAGAAACTTTGATAGGATACAAGCAGACGCATCCGATCATTTTCTATCAGTGCACATGACTAAGATAGTGAAGAAAACCTTAACCGGCTTACTCATTAGTCCAAGATTAATCCATTAAAACACTAATCGTGAATATAATGAACTGGGCAGTTCAGGTATAAATGATGCAACGATAAGGGTTTTCCAAATAAAAATAATGATTAAAAAACGTCACCGGTTCAGAGTCCAGTTTGACGGAGGGGCCAATGGCACCGTCGCTGGACAAAAGTTGCCGCAGCCTCGACGGCCAGCTCGATCTAAGGGTCGTCATCTCACCTCAACTTCACTACTGCCCAACGGAAATAACAATAAACGCCATAAGAACCAAAACAAAGACAATCCATAAATAAAGCAAATCGATGACAAAAGCACATAGATTGAAAAAGATGACGCCGGAATCAAAAAGTTAAATTCGATAGGCGTGTTAGAAAAACAGATCATATTCTTCACACACATATAAACATTGCTGCATACTTGTGTATATGAAGCGGAGAACCGATTACCTGAAAGATGAGGGGAAACGGGATTGAGCGCATACACATCCGAAGTGCGCAGAGAATAGAACGCAGGGCGAGAAAAGATTCGAAGTGAAAGCCCGAAGAACTGTAAGAGAAAGAAGAGGGGGTGAGGTTGAGAATCGCTACCCGAGGGCCTCCGCGAATGAAATATTTATTTTCTGCAAAATTGTTGGCCCTTTTCCAAGGTAGAAAGTGTGTTTAAATAGGGGTTCCCATTTGGTGCTCATCAGGTGATGAGCACCCAATGCTCATCACCTGATGAGCAATCTGGACCGTTTAGATTAAATCTGGACGGTCCATATTTAATATTATTAAATAATTATTTTAAAATAAAAAATTATATTTTTAAAGAATGATAGTTATGAGATTATCTTTTTTTTTATCTTATACCTATTAAAATAATTATTTTTAAAAAATAAAAATAAAATAAAAATAAATCTGGACCGTCCAGATCAGATCTGGACGGTCCAGATGGGTGATGAGCATTGGGTGCTCATCACCTGATGAGCACCCAATGCAAATCCGTTTAAATAGTGAGAACTGCGCAGAGTCTTCTTCTACTGCCTACGAGAATTGGGAAAGGCGGTTTTACCTTGGTTGCCCCTAGGTTTTGTGGTATTACACCGTATCTAGTTTTTTTTTTTTTTTTTGAGCTGATACACCGTATCTAGTTTGTTTTTTGCGTTTTTTCATCTTACTTCATTGCGCTCTTTTTTTTAATAGGCCCGAGCGCTTGATTCCTTTTAATTAAACTGAAAATTTTAATTTTATATTATTTTTTAAATGAACATAATCGCCTGGTATTAATAATATTATGATGCGATATCAATCATATATTTTGTTTTCTAAAAAAGGCTGACATGAAACCTGACACATATTTAATAAAATATATTGATTTTTAAACAAAAATAATATAAAAATGTCACTATTAAAAATAGGAGAATTACAATCAAATCCTATGTAAGAGAAATAACTACTAAAGGATCCAATAATAATCTATGTAATGATAAATTTTAAAGTGAAGAATAACAACCTCTAATATTTGTTTTGTAGTTTTTTTCTTACATGGGATCTCGTTGTAATTCTCTCTTAAAAAACCTATGGTTTATCACCACTTCCCTTTTCTTAATATGAATTAATTTTGGATAAATAAAAAAATAAAATAATTAATTATGAAAGATATGATATAATCTTTTTAAACCATTTTTGCGTAACAAACAATAAATATGGTAAATAAAATAAATTGACCTCTTATTTTTATAATTAAATTTAACTTCAGTTTATTCCCATATTAAGAGCTGGATAGAGTACTTTTTTTTTTTTGGTAATATAGATGGAGTGCATTGTTGTTAGTAATGAAACATTGTTTTCCAAAAAGCATTTATATTGTTTTTGAAACCCATTTAATCAACCATGTTTTTATTCATGATGGATTCTCTATACATTTATACATAATGTTGATTTTACTTGTTAATTAACAGTATTTAATGAGTTTTGTTTGATTAAACTTGTTTTTAAAGATGCCGGACTAATTGGGCAAAATTCAACTATTATTGGGCACAACTGAGATGATTCTCTATACATTTTTTATTTTTTTTTATACTTCTAGCATCCTAATATTATTTATAATATATCTAGCATCTTAAATCATAAATCAAATATGAGTACCAAACTTGGGCAATAAAACAAAGGGATGTTGGGTGCATTAAGAAAATAATATCAAACATCAAATCATTGAATAAGCCGTAAATAAAATTAGAGTGTCAAATGCTATTTTTTCCTCTCATATAGTCACACCAAATCAAACTCAATGCCCATGCTTAAGCCAACAAGACCGCTTTCACTGACCATCGCCTGCTGATTATTTAGTTAAAAAATATGGTTATTCTTGTGATATTTTTACAATGTTTACTTCAATTGACCACACGAGGCTAGTTCATACAATAAAATGTTAGCAAAAATCAATAGTTTAATCCTATATTTAGCATGAGGGAATTAGAGGGGATAAAAAGAAAAATTTTAATAAGTTCAGTTTAAAAAATTAGAGAGGTAAAACGAAAAATTTTTGATAAAAATAAAATATAAAATAAAAGAATAAGCAAAATTAGTTAACAAATTTTAGTCCTCTTTTTTTAATTTTTTAAAATGAACTCATTAAAATTTTCTCTATATTTTCTAGGACCATAAATGTTTTTAATGCATCGGTCACTTATATTTTTCTAACAATCCATGCAACTATTCATTCATGCCTATATATTAATCAGTTATGGCCATTAATTAGGGAAGTTATTAGTGAAATCGTCAAGTTAACGTCTCATGTACTGGGCAAATAGCCAGAAGAATATATTTATTTTATTTTATTTTAAGCAGTCAAGCTATGCACAGATGTAATTTATTATAATAGTTTGCAAAACCATGCAACTGGACAATAAAATTGTGACCGCAAAAATGTTATCTGGTCTTCTATTTTTAAAGGCAAGTCTCGCTTTAATCATTGAGTTTTATCGAGTTTCATTTTAATCTCTTTTTTTTTTTAAAAAACGGCGTGAAAAAACCTTTTGACGTTTGATGCGATCATGAATTATGATAGCTTGCACCTTGCAGGTTCAAAATCCATCCTATTAAAACATTCGTGCGTTATTTATTAAAAATATAATAATTAAAATTTGTAATCAATAATTGATTAAATGATACTTTTAATACTTTAACTTTATCTAAAATTTTAATTTAATTTTTTACTTTTAAAAATTATATTTTTATCATATAATCTCAAAATCATTTTTTAAAAAAAGAGTATTGAGCTATTGAATGTTAGTAAAGTATTCTCAAATATGAATATATTAAATTTAATTTTTAAAATGATTACAACTGTTATAAAAAGTTGTCATTTAAAACTAATGATTTTTTAAAAGCATGTACAGAGTTAAAAAACCAAAATGTATACCTTTACCAAAATAATTAATGGCTTGAGATATAATGTCGAAAGATATCTTGATTCACAGCATAAAAATATCAGAAGATAAATTATTTGTTATGATATGTTTTAAAAAAGAAATCGAATCTTACATTTGAAGTGAATAAGTTTTATTTATTTAGGAGAAATTTATCAATCCTTTTTATGTAAGGCGAAATAAAATTTTCCTCACATTTATCCCAGACTCTAGCATCACTTGTTCCAATTAAATACTCTTCCCGTCTTGACTATAAAATCCAGGTGAGTGTTTTAAATAGTACTCCTCCGGTCCTTATTATAAGACCCAATTTGACTTTTTATTTGGTCCTAATTATAAGACCCCAATCCATTTTATCTCTTATATTTATGCATTTTTTTTCCAAGATAATCCTTCTAATAATGATAGTTTTAGCCAATATACTTAATTAGTAAGGATATTTTAGGAATGACAACACTTATTTATTATAAATAACCAACTTAACTTACTTCCTTAATTTTCTCAAATAAATCAATTGGGTCTTATAATTAGGACCGGAGGAGTATTAATTTTTTCTACGATTGATATTTTAATTTACAGCCTAATCTCTAGCAATTTATACGCGAACTTGGTTATATAAATATGTGCAGGTATCAACCACAGGGTGGTGGCATAGTGGTGGCCTCACTTTGTCTCTAAACCCAAGGTCGAGGTTTCGATTCCCCGTTTGAGCATGGAAAACTACCCATGACTGGCGCTTTGCCCTTAAATGGAGGTACCTGGTGCGATTTGAATTAGTCTGGTTTATAATTGGATACACCTAAGAGGTGGTCTGTTCTTGTGGGTTGGCCAGGATACCAGGTGGAAAACCAAAAAAATAGGTGCAGATGTCCTTTTTCTTTTTTCTTTTTTTTTTAACAGGCTTCTGCGTTTTTGGCATAAACTTTTCGCTTATACTTTAAATTTTGATTTTTATCCGCCTATCAAATTTTTTATCTGTGCGTGAAACAAAATTATTGTGAGAAGCCAAGTGTTGTGCTGTAAATATCAATCTCAAATATAAGCTACTTATGAGGAGTTTGGCAAACTCCAAAAATATTTTTTTTAAAAAAAAATGTATGCAGGCTGAAACAAGTTTTTTTTTTTTGCATATTCATTTTATATATCATAAAATTGTTTTTAAAATCTAATTCAAACACCGGCCACTTGATTTATTTTCTTTACTTTTATTTTTGGCTGGCATTTGATTGATTTGATGATTTGACCTCATGCAGTATGCATGTTGAGACCCTTTAGACTGCAGGTTTATCCATCTTCGTTACTCAGATGAAAAGAGATTGAAACTTGAGCAATATCAACAGCGCACCTTCAAAGGGAATTAAATTGCAATTAATTTTACTTTTAAATATAAGGTTAATATAATTTTTAGTCTCTTAAGCTTATTTTTATTTTGGTTTTGATTCATTAAATTTCTGTCAATCGAGTTTTTTTTATTTAAAACGTCAGTCTCTATAATTCAATAAATACTTGAATTATTTTGCCTTTTGAAGGATCAAAACTTATTGTTTGAATCAAAATAAAGGCAAACTTAAAAGATGACAGATTATATTAATGCTTTTTAATACTACCTCTCATCATCAATAATATATGAGTTAGTTGGGAATTGAATCTGATCATAAATATAAGAGCTCAATTCATCTTATCTCCCAAATTTATAATTTATTATCTAAAGTATACTTATTGATTATATGTGTCAAAAAGTTTTTATTCAAGAGTACTCATAGTTAGAAAAGATAATTTAGAAAAATTAACTCATATTTATTACAAACAACTAACTTAACTGATTCTTTTAATTTACTTAAATTAGTGAAATATTTTTTATATTAAGGACCGGAGGTTTTAAAAAATTATATAAGATTTTATTTGCATCTTAATTCAATAAAATACATTTTTAGTTAAAAATTCTCATACAAAAATATTAAAATTAAAATTTTAAGTGCTTGCCCATTGAGTTTAATTGATCAGAAATGTTATATGGTGATTTTTTTTATAGTTAAATTCAGAATCAAATTAATTAGCAGATAAATTTGATATGCTTGAATTTTTAAATGATCGCAAGCTTTTACATAATTTAAATGCAAAGTTTAAATAATTATCTTTGACAAACACTTATCAAGAAATTAATATCTATTAATGATTGACCACTATAATTAGCATCAGACCTGAATAAATAATAAATAATAAATAATATGTATTATGTCCATTCCAATATTAGCTAGTAAGCTTAAAACATCATCAACTCGTCTGGGTCATGTCAATTACCAAATAACCGATTATTAGATAGGCTTGATATGTTCTTTTTTTTTTTAATTAAAAATAATGCGTCACTGGATGGAATCAAGAAGGGCATATTGGGATTACGCCACTCAAACAAACGTGTCCGAAAGTATCACGAAACTGAAATGCGTGGGGTAATCACTGGATACTGGTCAATGGCTCAATCCGGGTGATTCTAAGCCCAACAAATAATTACGGCAAAGAATTACATGCTCATTTGCTCGCAAACCCGTACTTTCAATTACCGAAATGAAAAGGCAACTTGACAGAGACAGTGACATGGTTAAAAAAAGAGGAAAACATGAATTTCAATGTCGCTAAATCCTCATTTTTTAAGGAATAAGCTGATCGCGTGGACATTATATACGAATTAATCTATACTATTTATAATTTATAAATAACGTGATTTATTAAAATACAAGGTATCTTGAACTTTATAGCGCTATGCTATACAAATTAAAGTAATTTTTTTTGGACCATTCTACAAATTAAAGTAATTGAACGCACTGAATTTGTGTTGATTGAAATGTTCAAGGAAATGTGATGACTTGCAATTATCCACAATGGTCCCTTCTGTGTGTTGTATTTAAATTCTAATTTTTTTTTTGCTCCTTATTTTTTCCTGAGGATCCCGGCAATGATTCACCCATTGGGCAATGTGTATGTATCTTCTTAAAGGTATTGTAAATTGCTTTTTGGGGAAAAAACAAGAGAGGAATAGGCCACTTTCTTCAGCCTGACATTTTAGTGGGCCGAGCCCAAATCAAACAAAGCCCAAATTCTAATCATGGCCCGATCTACAAATATTGGGCCATTGCCAAAAATGTGTTGTGAACACTAATTTATATGGCAGGAGTGTTTGGATGCCCCAAAAAATATTTTTAGAAGTTAAGATAAAATTTTTTTCACACACTTATTTTGGATGTGTTTGGATTACTGTTTTATCTTTAAAAGATGTCTTGGGATGTGTAAAATGTGAGCTAATGGTGCGCTTGAAAATGGAAGATTGTTTGAATAACTTATTTTCATCTGCCTTTTTTGGAAAAAAGAGTTCATTACTGTAAAAGCCAATTTGTTTAGCTTCCAGTGTTAGGTTACATCTCCTTCTCCCCATTTTTTTCCTCTGTCCTTTTCTGCCCTCATATCTTTTGTCCTAATTCTCAACTTTTGTAGCTTCAATGTCATAACTTTCGTCTTGATTCTCATATTTTAATATTTGCATTTTTTTTATTTGTTTCATTTATAATCACTCTGTTTATTTCATCATGTTATTTGTTTTTGCATATTTTTAATAAAATAATAATTAATTTTTACTAATAAAAATTATTTATTTTATGATTTTATCTTAAGTAAAAACAATTAATGAAGGTTTTTTATTATTTAAAATTTTAATAATACATTAATTCTTTTTTAATTTAAATTTTAATATTTTTTTAAAAAATTATCAAATTATATAATATATGTTGTAAAACTCATCATTTTCAGTCATGTTATATACAAATTTACTTTTCTATCAATCATTCAAACAAGTTTTAACTTCTCAAACTGATTTCTTTGTAAAAATCAATACAAACATAAATCACATTATACCAACAGACTTTTATCCTAATTTATATTTGTAAAAGTTAGTTAGAATAAAAAATAGTTTCGTTACTACTAATCCAAATACACCATTCATGTATCGTAAAAGTCACTTTTAAAACTATAGTTTTTAAAACTATGGTTTGCTTTTCATCTAAATAATCACTCCACAATCCCCGCGGTTCACATGGCTTGTATTTGTCAATTCCAACGAGGGCTAATTTTATGCCACAACTGAGAATTTAGCATGATTTTCTGATATATCTGCAAATTTAGTACAATTTCAGCAGAAATTTTCAGAAGTTCTGACGTTTTTATAGCATCAAATTTGAGGCCGTGCCTGAACCACAAATATTATCCCGGCTTTAACCACCCCTTCAATGTCCTGAGGGCAACCGTAAAGGGCCTCTATGATTTTTCCCGCCTCTGCAATTCTCGACAACAGCGATGTTTGAAAAGCTTTATCAACTATAATTGGATCTCTAGAGTAGTCTAATACGACTTTATCCACTTCGTCCATGATCACACTGCAGAATATTTGAGCAGGCATTTAGATGGCATACCATCCAAGCAATCACAAAACATAGTTACAAAAGGAGGAGATTTCGCAAGATACGAGAAAACAGTGGTCTCCAGTGAACTTATTTCTAGGATCGTCAAGTGATCTCCAGAAAATTATTTCTAGGATCACTCGTATCAGCTAACCTATATAGTGTAAAACCATTGCAGCACAAATCCAAGAAATTAGCTAGCCTTTAATACGTTGTAACCCGGTAACACCACTTCAAGTTTCGATTTTCCACAGTTTTCTTTTTTTGGTTTTTCGTCTTGGTGACTTACCAGAATCTCCCATATCACTTCATAATAAAAATTTAGTATTCTAGATCTCTTTGAACTACCACTGTAGTTCGCCTTTCCATATTACACAGGTCATGCATACTGCATCGCAGTCTAAACAGCCAGAACCACCAATTCAAATATTGTATCTCTATAGAATAGATTATTTGGTTTGAAAAACGTGGGCATTCAAAATCTTAGCTGTCCAGCAACAATTCAATTATATTACAATGTACTGTAATACAATTTGTATATAATTTAAGAATAAGCCACATATTTTACCTGTCAAAAAGGCCGGCACCTGAAAATCCACCAAGATCCTCAGCATTAGAGTCCGATCTGAATATAATGGACTTCTTACTGTACAATCCTGTCAGCTTGCTCGGGTAACCAGTAACCTACAATAAAATCCATTGCTTCTTTAAGTGGTAGAAAAACGGCTCTGCCACCTTTCAATTTGATGAGTGGCCATTTCAAAACTATTGGAATTCAAAGTAATTGGACATGATGCAACTTGACGGGGGTAATTTAACACATTAACATATAGCAATGAAGAGAAATTGGCATTACCGTAGGAGACTTCAGATTAGTTTTCTTTACAGTGAAAGTCATTGCACGTCCTGGATATGCCCCCACCAAACTCTCTCCCAAGCCCTTCACAATCTGTTTTTGCACCAAAGAAGGAAACGGTAAGAAAAGCATTTTCCTTGATTTGTCAATAAACCAGGAGGCAACATTTACCTCTGCATATATCTCAGTGGGATCCCCTGATATGGGATTCTTTGTATGAATCACAAAAGCATAATCGCCACAAATTACTTCTTGAATTAACACAGCCATGCATATGTCGTCATGATTCAACTTGGCCTTCTGGCAGCTAAGAAAAGCTCTTTCATTCCACTTTGAAGCCCAAACCTGGAAATAACAAATTTTACATGGTTTTGTCCACTGATAATAAACATTCAGTGCTTGCGGATCAGGCTAATGACATTTTGTTGACAAGCAGCCAAATTCCTTATATGTGAAAACCATCAGATATCCAAAGCAATCAAACATTTAGGCATTTCTGTAATTATGCGCATGTCAGCCTTTATCAAAATTTGTTAACATGAAAATTTTGCAACCAATAAGATCCCAGAAAAACTCAAATGAAAACCATAGGAAAACCATAATGCATATTAAAGTGAAAAAAAAAAGGAACAATGTGAGACAAAGATAAACAAAAGGATGATACAAAGTTTGGAAACAAAATTTGAGAAATAATAAGTCATATTTATTTATGATGACAAATTCTTACCTTCTTTATTGCTTGCCATGCACAACTCCACTTGTCTTCACCTTCATCACCAAGCCATGCTAATCTTGAACTTCTCATTTTGCGCTTAAGCTCATTTGTCTGCCAAAATTTGTATTATGGGCGTTAGGATATAAGCTCAACGCCCATTGCCTGTAAATTGAGTTATTCTGACTGTAGAATACAGGGTTGTATGTAGGTGGTTTTATGACTGGCCCATAAGTTTCATAACTGAAGGACTGACAACTTATAACCAATATAACACTAACTATCAACAGGAATGTATAATCTTCAATATGATAGAAACTAGAATGGGCCCCTTTTATTTGTACAGTACTCGAAAAGAGCTACTGAGACTAGTTCAACTTCTTTCAACTTTTAAAAATACAGTAACACACACACACACACACACATATTAAATTACTGTGATCCCAGATCACGTGGCTGAAGTTAAAAGTTTCATATGCACCACGATCAGAACTGTCATGTAAAGCATTTCAATATCATGGAGTGATGCCATGCATTATCTTGGCTAAAGGCATAAAAGTTACTTGCAGAGAATAATTATGGCATTCACAATATTATCAAAGAATGATTAAAAAAAAAAAAAAAGAGGAAGATATTAAAGGCGAGTTTTTGACATGCTTGAAGAAGTCTGTCATAAACAATCGACTTTTCCTGTCAGAAAACAAATTACTGCAGGATTAAATAAATATTATAGACTCCATTTTGCAGCATCTCAATATTTAAGAGTTTGAAAAATCACAGTCCAAGAATCTCATAATGCGTGAAAAATACCAGGTACGGTGGAGCGTGCATTTTTAGGATGGCTTCATGAATTGCTCCAAGTTTTGAATGGTCACCGCGATCTACTAATTGGCATAAAGAATGGATCCTGTCTGCTGCATCCTGCCAGCGAATGACGAATTTAAACTCAGCTTTTGGAAAACTTCTGGCAGAATTATTAAGCATGAAATAACTAAACAAGCATATGCTTGGAGAATACTTTCATAAACATAACTATAAGAGCGCTCCTTGTTCTGTTAACTTACTGGGAAAAGATTTGCAGGATGGTTCGTATTTATAGACCTTGTATGATATAAAAGAAGTTCCTTCACTTATATTAGCTATGCATTTCAATTCCCTGGTGCTTGGTAGTTCCCCTTGGGGAGTAGTCTTCACACTAAACTAAGTCATATGTTGCGCTCACTAACCATGATCTAGAGTAGAAACTTAATATTTCAGGACTCACTGTCAGGAGACAGAAATTTAAATCACACTAATGACATCAAGAACTGATTATACTATATCAAGTCATATCAGATGAAGTTTCAATCAATATTTATATAAAAATTAAGATAATTGCCATCACAAGTTGAAGTCTGCTCTTTTCATGTATATAAAGGGATAAAAAAAAAAAAAAAGATACTCCTTGGGAAAAACAGTGGTCATTTGAGATTAACACTCGGTCTATTAGACTGTGGCAATACAGGCATTACCATTTATAGGACTTCAGACTTAAGCCAAAACTAATCTATGAACATGTGGTATGTTTGTAACAAAATCCCGAATAATCCGTTATTGATATTCATTTTTTGGTGAAAAACACACACCATCAAATGCACAACAAAGGGAGGAAACAATAATGTAACAATTTCAATGAATTAAGGAATAGCAGTTACACTACCTTATTAAGTTTGTCTTGCAGAGCTGTCTCAAACGATCCAAATGCTAGAGCAAGTGACATTGGGATCTTAATCCATGATGGTATCCGTGCACTTAATAATAATTTAATATTGCAAGATTTTGCGCCAACCTACATAAAATTCGTTAGCGTTCAGCCACCGAGGCTTCGATCAAAACTTGCACCCAAGCATGCAGTACATAAGACCTTGATCCATGCTGTGTTTTTCTCTCTCGATATAGAATGAAAGTGACATTGACGCTTGATACACAGAGGCATACCTTTTCGCCAGTAAATTCTTCAACCGAAACAGCATAATTACCACAAAATGTCTTCTTTTTTATGGTCACTCCTCGGGGAATGGAGTGAAAACCAATGGATTTATGTGATAGAAAGGTGCTAATGACGTCACTACAAACACAAATAATGATGGTTCTGTAAATTCATTTAATATCCTCAAATAATAAATCAATCAAACGACTTTTGGACATACAACCTGATAACCAAATTGGTTGACTTAATTTTTATTGATATTGCTTTCCCCTCCTTCGATTTGAGATCCTGGAATGTATTCTTGTCAAAGCATGTAGCAAAACATACCTGCATAACACTTCACACATCACATCAAAGCATGTAGCAAAACATACCTGCATAACACTTCACACATCATATGTTAGAAATTCAAACTTCTACGTAAAAAAATTCAGTTCCACTGTCCTCACATATCAAATCAAAACAAATGTGTATGAAACTATAATACATGCCTTGCTATTTCTGGCCCTGATGGAAATATGGGACAGAACATCTGGTGTATCAGTGGTTAGCACAGCTACCACTCCATCTGGAATTTCTTCCTCTCCACTTATCCTTGAAGCAACTATTACGGTTGGTCTCTTGTAAACCTTATTTGAATTTTCATCAATTCATGAACTGAAGTCACAAAGCCAGAAGCTTCCACTGGGCTAATAACCTGCCAGCTGCCATTGAAAAAAATGTACATACATTCATAAGAGCAAAAACGCTACCAACCAGCAATAGGGGGATTTTTGGAAAAAGCTGCTTTTATTTTTATCCGAATAAAAGAAAGAACATGTTGACCCAAAAAAGAAAAAGAAAAAGAAAGAACATACTATTTATTATGATAGCAATAGTTGAAAAAAATGAATCATGCAGCTTAGCTTAGAATAAATCTACTAAATTAAGCACACAAACACATGTACATAACATTCTTACCAGCCTAAATTTGAAACTTTCCTAAGAATAGGGTCAAAACGGTTAATGAGAATGGACAAAATAGCAGAGCAGCCCGACCTTATCAGTTCCTCCGTAAAAATATCAATCTGAATGTCATGGTAAAGAAGAGCAAATATGAGAATTCCAGAAAGACCCACGACCATGCTACTGTAGTTCTGTATTATTTTACAAATTCCAACATAATCTGAGTACTTACTGCCCATTTCTGAACACCAAGCAATTTACCAAGATACTGGGCACTTGGCTGGATACTTTTCTGGTAATGCTGAGACCTTTCAGCAAGTACTAGCTGCAACCGGTCAAGTATAGCCTTGGTCTGTAAGGCCCACTGACTATCACCGGATTTGAATGATTCGCAAACATGATACCAGTCCTTTAGTATACAGCATAGCAGCCAGCAAATGCAAGGAGGAATCACATTAACCAGTCAGTGAAGAAAGGATGAGAAGTACAACCATAGGCAAGCCTTTTCTTAATGTTAGAAGCCCTTGATCTCCTCCCTGATTTTCTCTCCTTATTCTCTCCATTAATTACCCATGATTCTAGCTAGGCAATAAATTCCTGATTTCTTGTGATATTGCAATATCTTTCAATTATTATTTGATTGTAACCGGATGGTATGAGACTCTATAAATTGTACCCACATCATATGAAATAATATGCTAGAGTGAATTTTCAATTCTCTTTAAACATGGTATCAGAGCGTGTGAGCCCAGAAAGGGTCCTGGAGAGTCTGCCGTAAGCCAGAGAGAGAGACGGCGAGGAGAGAGAGAGAGAGAGAGTGAGGCGTCCTCAAAACTGGAACCAGAAGTGGTCCGTGGACGACACCACCCCTCCAGGCCTCACTGGCGTCCCCAGATCGGCGCGTCCCCAGAAGCCGACGTCCAACGAAGCTGCGCGTGACTCTCACGCGCCGTTACAAGCTCCGCGCGTGAATCCCACGCGCCGTTACAAGCTCCGCGCGTGAATCCCACGTGCCGTTACAAGCTCCGTGCGTGAATCCCACGCGCCGCCGGCGCCCCGCCACTGTACCAGCGCGTGCCGCCCACGCGCCGCCGCCAGAGACCTCCAGTACCTCCCAGAGACCCAGAAGATGGATAACCCAGAATTCCCACCACTTTTTGGGTCTGTTCGCAATATTCCAAGGGTCCTCATGTCCGGTACATCTTCAAATACTCAAGCTACTCCTTCTTCACCAGTGGTTACTCCTTCTTCAGACTTGACAATAGCCGCTGAACCTCAAGCTATGGGGGTAGCCCACAAACTTAATGGAAGCAATTATCTCCAATGGTCTCAAAGTGTATTAATGTATCTGCGTGGGAAGCGTAAGGAGAAGTATATCAATGGAGAAGCAACACAACCTTCACATAATGATCCCAAATTTGATACCTGGTTCGCTGAAAATAATCAGGTGATGTCTTGGTTGTGCAATTCAATGACTCTCGAAATCAGTGAAGGATACCTTCTTGCAAGCACAGCCAAGGAAATCTGGGATGCTGCTAAGCGGACCTACTCTACCCTCGATAACACTGCAGCCTTATTAGATCTAAAGAGGCAGCTCAAAGATCTGAAACAAGGCAACTTAACTGTAACTCAATACTACAGTACGTTGACAAAGATATGGCAGCAATTGGACCTCTTTGAAGTACATCCTTGGAAGGATATGGATGATGCTAATTACTACAGACAATTGGTGGAAAGAGGACGAACATATGACTTTCTGTTGGGCCTGAATGATGTTTTTGAAGAAGTGAGGGGGAGAATTATGGGACTGAAGCCGCTGCCATCCCTATTTGAAGTCTTCAGTATGGTTAAGTTCGAAGAAAGCCGAAGACACCTCACCCAAGGTAGCCTGACCGCAGCAGAGGGCTCGGCATTGGTGACGAGGGGGTTCCAGACATCAGAGGGCCCTGAGAAGAAAGGGAACAAGTGGTGCAACCACTGTAACAAGAGAGGCCACACCAGAGATGAATGCTGGAAACTACATGGGAAACCAACTCAAGGGAAACAGAAACAACGGGAAGATAGAAAGAGCCACCACACCTCCTCTGAAGAAAAAGGTGATGATGGAGACCAGTTGACCAGAGAAGAGCTTCAAATGCTTCGTAAGATACTTGAAAAACAAAACAAATCAAAATCTGTTCCCAACGTGAACTTGATACAGTCAGGTAATTCCATTATAGCTCTTAATGCAATGGTAACTAGTGATGAGACTTGGATTATTGACTCCGGTGCTACAGATCACATGACTGGTAATAAGTCCTTCAAAACCCTCAAATATTGCCATGAGAACCTTAGAGTAAAAGTGGCAACTGGACTGTATACTAAAGTTGAGGGTGTTGGCAGTGTGGCTCTATCTGAAGATCTGGAAATCCATAATGTTTTGTTTGTCCCTGCTCTTACTTGCAATCTTATTTCTGTGAGCAAATTAACTAAAGGGAAAGCATGTCGGGTGATATTTGATGATGTTAAATGTGTTTTTCAGGATTCGACCTCGGGGAGGAAGATTTTGACTGCTAAAGAATGGGATGGACTCTACTACTTTGAAGGAAAGGATATGAAGATAGCAGGAGCAAAGAAAGCTATGGTTAGCTCCAACTCTCAGAATAAAAATGTAATGTTGTGGCATCAAAGATTAGGCCACCCCAGCTTTGATTATATGAAGCATGTGTTTCCAACTTTATTCAATAAAAATTCTTCTCCTTTCCAATGTGAAACGTGTCAAATTGCTAAACAAACTCGCGCCTCTTATCCCAAACATACTTACAAACCTTCCACCCCGTTCACAATGATCCATACCGACATTTGGGGACCAGCCAAAACCAACACCCGAACAGGCACAAAATGGTTTATCACATTCATAGATGATCACACCCGGGTCACATGGGTTTACCTTATGAAAGAGAAATCCGAAGCCCTACAAATTTTCAAAAACTTTTACTCGTTTGTGAGAACCCAATTCCAAACTACCATCAAAGTCCTGAGAAGTGACAATGCCAAAGAGTATGTGAGTGGAGCCTTTAGGGAATTTCTTGAGCAGGAGGGAATCCATCACCAAACCTCATGTGTTTATACTCCTCAACAAAATGGAGTTGCTGAGCGAAAGAATAGACACCTTTTGGAAGTAACCCGAGCTATTATGATGGAAAGAAATGTTCCAAATCTGTTTTGGGGAGATGCTGTACTAACCGCAGCCTATCTTATCAACCGCATGGCCTCTAAAATTCTCCACTTTAGTACCCCTATTCAAAAGCTCCTCGAGACTTACCCCACTTCACCTATCATCAATACCATCCCTCAAAAGGTCTTTGGGTGTGTCGTCTTTGTCCATAAACATGATGGAGGCAAACTAGGTGCTAGAGCAGAAAAATGCATTTTCCTCGGGTATTCCTCCACCAAAAAGGGGTATAAGTGTTATTGTCCCACCACCAGAAAACTTATAATCTCCAAAGACACAGTCTTTTATGAGGATGATGCTTACTATCCCAAATTACCCATTCAGGGGGAGCACTATGGAGTAGAATGGCTAATTACATCCGAACCTATAACCATACCACCTCAAGACAACATCCCTGAACCGGAAACGGAACCAAAAACCCCTACTACTACACCTTCTCCAGAACACCAAAACTCCACAAACACCCCTCACCCAATGGAAACCAATGCTGAAATTGATGCAGGGGTGACAGAGCACTCAAGTCCTCAATCAGGTGAACAGGACAGTAGTAGTAGGGTTCCTTCCATTCCAAGGCAGCAACATGATTCCAATCCGGAGTTGGATCCTGAAGAGCTGGGATGGCCTATTGCACTTAGAAAGGGGGTAAGATCGTGTACTCAGCATCCTATTCAAAAATTTGTCTCCTATGGCAATTTATCTGCGAGAATGCAAACTTTTGTAGTGAATAGCTCACAGGTGAAAATTCCAGAAACATTTCAACAGGCTGTAACAGATCCTAATTGGAAACATGCTGCATATGAGGAGTTGAGAGCCTTGAAGGAGAATAACACGTGGGATATCACCACACTTCCTAAGGGCAAGAAAGCAGTGGGTTGCAGGTGGATCTTCACCCCTAAATTCAATCCTGATGGCAGCATCAACAAGTACAAAGGAAGATTAGTTGCCAAAGGGTACACCCAAACCTATGGGATTGATTATCAAGAAACGTTTGCTCCTGTGGCAAAGTTCAACACCATCCAGGTACTCCTGTCCCTAGCTGCCAACCTTGATTGGCCCCTACATCAGCTAGATGTGAAGAATGCTTTCCTAAACGGAGATTTGGAGGAGGAAGTGTACATGGAAATTCCAGATGGAGTAATAGCTCCACCCAACTCAGTTTGCAAATTGAAGAAATCATTATATGGCTTGAAACAATCTCCACGAGCATGGTTCGACAGGTTTGCCAAAGCGATCAAAAGGTTTGGCTACATTCAAGGACAAGCTGATCACACTCTTTTCGTCAAACACAGTGATGGAAAGGTAACGATCCTAATTGTGTATGTGGATGATATAGTCATAACTGGCAGTGATGAGGTTTCTATCTCCCATCTCAAGAAAGCCCTAGCTAGGGAATTCCAAGTGAAGGACCTAGGCCAAATGAAGTACTTTCTTGGAATGGAGGTTGCTAGATCCAAAAAGGGTATAAGTGTGTCCCAACGAAAGTACACACTGGACTTACTCCACGAAACAGGAATACTTGGGGCTAAACCTAGTGAGACTCCTATGGAAGAGTCATGCAATCTGGAAGTGAAACCAAAAGGGACACCAGTTAACTCAGAAAGGTACAGAAGACTTGTGGGCAAACTAATCTACTTGACTCATACAAGGCCTGACATTAGCTATGCAGTTGGAGTGGTAAGCCAATTTATGCATCAACCCCAGGAAGAACACATGGAAGCAGTATACAGAATCCTCACCTACCTCAAACTCAACCCTGGAAGAGGACTATTCTTTAAAAAGGGGAGTACAAGGAGCATAGAGGTCTACACTGATGCAGATCATGGGAGAGCTGTGGACAACAGAAGATCTGTCACAGGATACTGTACTTATGTTTGGGGAAACTTAGTCACTTGGCGAAGCAAGAAACAGACAGTAGTCTCAAGAAGCAGTGCTGAGGCTGAGCTAAGAGCTGTAGCCCTGGGGGTATGTGAAGGAATGTGGGTGATTAGACTTCTGAAGGAATTGAGAATTTCCTATGAAGGACCTATGAATCTCTGGTGTGACAATCAAGCCAGCATTGAAATGACCAAGAACCCTGTGTATCACAACCGAACAAAGCATGTTGACATTGATCGGCACTTCATCAAAGAAAAGGTCGAGGATGGCATCATTAACTTGAACTATGTGCGTTCAACTGATCAGATTGCTGACATCATGACTAAACCGTTAGCCAGAGTCAAGTTTGAAGGGCTTCGAAGCAAGCTGGGAATGGTTGACATCTACTCTCCAGCTTGAGGGGGAGTGTTAGAAGCCCTTGATCTCCTCCCTGATTTTCTCTCCTTATTCTCTCCATTAATTACCCATGATTCTAGCTAGGCAATAAATTCCTGATTTCTTGTGATATTGCAATATCTTTCAATTATTATTTGATTGTAACCGGATGGTATGAGACTCTATAAATTGTACCCACATCATATGAAATAATATGCTAGAGTGAATTTTCAATTCTCTTTAAACACTTAACAAAAAAAAACTTCAAGCGTCAAGCTCATACCTTAGTGCAGTAAATGAAGTCTTCATTATTGACAGTTGACAAGCATAGATTCTCAAGCATCAAGGAGAAGAAAAACAAGGCCTCCTGTTGACAATTATAAGAAGCTCAGTTATATTGCTTAAACATCAGTCCTCACCAAATATGCAATCATTTTGAGCATAAAGGGAAAATACCGGTATGTATGCAAAGTTCAAATTCTTTAGTCCCCTTTCCATTGTTGTTCTGACTGCTGAGTCCAAAGAAATGTCAAGGAAAAGCAGGTCTTTTGATCTTCCATGGGAAGTCAGCAGAATAGGGCGAAGCAAAATGCGTGATTCCAGTAATTTCTGAGAAAAACAATATTGGACATTTACTGAGACAACATTTTATAAAAGCCCTACCATGTCTAAGTACAAACTGACCTCCATTAGTGGGCCAATATTGATATCGCCAAAACGGGCTTTGACAAAATTCAGACTTTCCTGCGAGTTGATAGCAAGGGAAAAATAACCTCTAGTGTCCCGGTTGAATAATGAGGACCACAGACAAGATATGGTTATAGATGAGCAAACCAACACATGTAATGTCATCTACCGCTAATTCTATAGCCGCAGAACTGACAAGCATGCTTTTTATGCACGAATTGACTTGAAATGCCAATAAAATGCAATTACCAGCAGGTTTGATGGCAAACCAGCAGCGGACCTATGTTTGATTGCCTTTTCAACAGTGCCATCCTGCAAGGCCAAGATTGCAATCAAGATTTTAAATGTTACAAATATCATGCTGGACATGACATGAATCAGAACAAGGGGAAAGAAATCAGCTTATAAAACTAACAACTGCAATAATCACCTTGAAAGAAGAACTCAAGCAAACATCAATGGCGGATTCAAGGTCAACACCTGCATGAACAGCCTATCACAGAGAGTAAACATTATTCAGATAACTGTAAACGAATACACAATATATCAGCGCTATGATTTTCATCATCACTAGTTTGATATCAATAACAAATTCAATGGCTTATTGCTGTGACAATTAAAAATGAGATAATAGTGGGGAAAATTTAATCAAATAAAAATTATATCAGAGGATATCACGGATTTATTGTTCACAGAGAAGAATTTCTAATGGTGTTAGTACTCCATACATACTATTGCTTTTAGTTCCAATTTGGATATAATATTCCTGTCATGCCAAAGATAAATGAATTTGTACAAAGCAGTTCAGAGGCGAAGGAGGTTCACTGGAAGAGATCATGTTTATAAAATGTCTGATGAAACTAAGATAGATAGATATCCAAGTTGAAAAATATATACTACTCATCCAAGTCTAAAACATACCTTTAATGTCTTCAAGTATGCAGTAAGGTCACGGATAAGATCATCCCTGAAATCAGATCTAAAATCCGGTTCTGAAACAATTGGGCGGTCATAGCTTGCAAGTTTCTCTCTTGTGAGACCATTTGCATTTAGTGTTTCCCAATAAACATTAATTCTGAAACCGCACCTTACATAATGTATGAGGGCCTATTGCAGTAATAAATACAAATTGTAATAAGTATTCTTATGTTATAGACCAGATCGCTATTGTCAGTATAGCAGTACTGTGCTACTCAATAAGAGTGGGAACTTTGGTAAGATTGCTGATAAAACAAGTTGATTCCATAGAAAGAGAGAAGAGTCAAAATGGACAAGAGGGAAAACTTGATTCCATAGATGTCTTGATTCCAAATCACAGCCTAAGAACACCAAGTACTAAGAAATTCTCTAATAGTCAATAACTACAATATCCAAATAAACCAAGATATTATTTATTGTAAATGTCCTATTTTCTATAACTTCTCAACAAATGTAGCCCCACTCATAAGTCATAAGCGCTACACTCATCATAAATATTAAAATGCACTTTTAGTATGTCTTTCCCATACTCTATCAACTGTCCTGAACATTTTAAAATAATAAATGAGTAGATACCATTGAAAATGATATATTTCATTTTATAGAAAGTATATAACCAGCCAGCTCGACACATCCACTAGCCATAGACCTGAAAACAGAAGATCAACAACGGAGAAAAATGCCCTTCTTATACAGTTACCTCACATATTATTATATCATCAGGGCTACTATTGTTGTGCAACTTTTGATGCCACTCCTCCATCATGCCTGTCCTACAATCATAATTTCTCTGAAAAGAAATAAAGAACTTAGTGCGCCTTTATTAAGCAAAGGACAATTTAATCCTGCAACTAATTATATCTGTATATACCTGAATCAGAAGTATTTCATCACGAATTCTCTGACCAACATCACCTGGCCCTCCACGTCCAACACATGCCATTATCATTCTCACTATCTCCCTATCACTTGGCTGGTTTAGGTATATTTTTTGCAGCACGCAAGTAAATCTGTCCTGAGCTTCACTTATTTCACTGGATATGACATGCAATTCATTATTTTGAAAGGAAATACAGAGGCCGGTGTCACCGAAACTATCATGCAAATCAAATATATTAGGCAATTAGCTGAAATGCATTATTGCTTAGACGAACAACAGTTGCAATTAGTTAAACAGCAAACCTAAGTCATATGCTTAAAGTTCGTCAATATGTAATCAGATTCAAGTGCATTATTAATTTAGTACGAACATTTTCAAGGCCCCTGCAGCCATGCTTATATCATTTGAAAGAAAAATTCTGAAAAGTCTATCGTATATATCTTTTCTATATAAACAAATTCTCTTTGAAATTCAAGTATGATTTACTATTATATTTTACCGTGGTTTCACATTATAATTCTTGTTCCAAGTGAGGTGCCTGCATGCCATGAATCTTAACCAGACTAATATTCCTATAAGCCCCAATCCACCTTCCGATTTGCAGCGCTCTGTCAGTTCCGTGGCAATATTGAACCTGAGAAAAAATAAGCAAATAAAATAATATAATCTAGTAAACCAGAGTAGACAATCACAGACAATTTTCTATTTCTTGCAGAATTTTTCCACAAAATAATGTTCTACTTCCATTTTGTGTTAGTTTACAAAGAAATAGCTGAGAAGAACACCAATGGGAATAATCCTATTTCACAAACGTAAAGAATTAAACATATCAAAGAGTACAATTTATCATAAAACTACAGTAGATGATGAAAGGCAATTTTCATTTTCATAGAGAATTTTGTCATACTACACTGTTTTCTTCCTGCCTTTGTGTCATTGGACAAAAAAAGCTAGTTAAAATGAACTGCAATGAGAATAATTGCAGTTCAAAACTTACAAAAAGAACAACAATAATTGTAGTAAGAAAAAACTGAAATAAATCTCGTAATCTCACCTGTGCATCAAAGATCTCTCAGCTTCTTTCTCCCTTTGAGCAATTTCATGGAGCAACCATACAACAAGCTCTTTCAGATCTTGACTAAACTGCATGCAAGGCGTTTCAGACCAAAATTTGTTAGAAAAAGTAATTCACATAACTGACTCAACTGCTAAAATAAAACCATAGGGGTCCGGACACAAGTAGGGATAACAATGATATCATAGGACCAATATGTATCGTCTAGGAATTTAGAGCAAATGGAAAAAAAAAAAATCATATTAATAGTTTCTACCATCGCTACTTTAAGAAATAATGACCATGTGTGCGTGTATCCTTGGTTTGTTATAGCAACAACATTTATTTTTGTGATTTGTACATGTGATACGTACAATAGACACAAGTTATTTATCACAATCTAGAATCTCATAGTTTGAAGAAAGTATAAATCCTACAGGTTAGAATGAGGGACACCCTAATGGTCGATCTTGAGTTATCAACATGCTTGTCACATTCCACAGCTGTATTAACCTGACAATTTTTTTTTTTTTAAATATATGATAGAATTCAATGAAATGAGATGCAAAATAGCATGCCAATAACATGATTAATAAGTTTAATTACTTGTGCTGTGTTCTGAGTATAGATTATATGAAAAATCCTAGTTTTCCAGGAAAATACACAATTGATATCAACATCCAGCTACACGTTAAAATTAAGGACTTTTGGCCCTGCATATTGACACATAAATTCAACAGAAAATGGGATACAGGGGGAGAAAAAGGAAAAGAAAATTACCCTCTCAGTAGGATTATTTCGTTTGAGTTCAGCAAAGAAGTTTTTCCCACTATTTTTTATCCAAAACCCACCTGTCCAGATAACAAACTGAATACCAACAAAATTCCTTTTCTGCAGATTAACATCTATAACCTTTTATGAAAGGGCAAAATCAAAAGAAAAAAGGGATGAAGTCAATATATACTCCCCTCTGAATAACAAGTACAAGCAAATGTAGATTAGACCATGAAAAAAAATGCCATCGCTTAAATTACCTGAAAGGACCCATTTCCTATAAACTTATCCATAAAATAACTTTGACATGCTCCAGAAACCTGTTTTGAGTTTTCAGGCCAAATATCTGTTGGTGGTACCTTCATTTGGCAGCAAAACCGGACAAAGAGGTAAATATTTGTCCTTATAGCAGTCAAAAATTAACATGGACATCCATATTTTAAATGTTTAGGAATCTGAAATCCTATAACTCACCGACCATTCACAAGGAGAAGACTTAGATACACCCCAGTGAAGTATCGTAGTGCCTTTCGTGTTTGAAGCAACAAAAATGTGATAGTCACCATTTATGATCTTTGAAAATACCTGTATGTACAAACAAATTACAGAAACGGTTAAAAAAAAAGAGAGAGTTAATTTTGTCCCTCTGAAAGTCATTAGAAATTGTTCGGCTAGCTAATACCAGGTCAATAACAAAATGCAAGCCAAAATTATAACCAAATAGTTTAGTCCTTGTGGAAATTAAAACCCTACAATTCAGTGACTAAAATTACTTTAGAATCCACTCCTGCAGGATATTTTAAGAAAAACTATTTGCATAAAAATTTTTGTCTTGGTATCACACTTGGATCAACTGATTTTTACACCTTCAAACAGGAAAAACAGATACTTTCCTCTATAACTGAAATTAGATGTTTCTTTTTTTGAAGCACTAAGCTATAAAAACTTGATAGATTAGTAAATCCATTCTAATAGACAGAAGGTCCTTTTCAAAAGTAAAGTAACTCACGGCCAACACTTTTTAAATACACCAATATGTTTACTGAAAATATATTGAAAATTAAAATCCATAAAATGGGGCAGGAGATCCTGTATGTGCTTAGCAATCATACACTCAATAACCAACCGATTATAGGCATACTTGGAAAGAAACAAGACGGGAGCAGACAAAAGACCAGCAAGTTTAACGAGGCCAAAAAAAATTCATTCAACTTTCAACATATCAAGAACAAATACTAGAAAACTAACCAATATTTCGTAGTTGTGAACATAGTATCTTTGCCATGAGATTAAATCTGTTCCACCCACAAATGTCTCTATAAGATCCACCAGAGCTGATGTTGACTCATGGGATCTTTTGGGATGCTCTCCAGAATGCCTTTGCAACCACTCTTCAACATTATATTTCCTTTTGTAAGAGTATTGCATGCCACTCCTGACTTGATCCCCATTACCATTTACAGCTTTTGTATTTCCAGCCGCGTAACTATTGCGGGGCTCATTCAGGGAAATTCCTTTTGACAAACGGTTCAGGATCTCTCTCAATGTATTATTACCTTGCTGCATCAAAATAAAAATATCAAGCAAGACCGAAAGTTTGTAAATAAATACATAAACTTTAATTGATTGCTCCATCCACAAATATTGCTTGATCAATCATACCAAGCAACACTTTGTATGATACAAAAACGGTGAGCACAGTTATTGAAACACAAACAGATGATCACTCCACCGCAAAAATTAAATAGAAAAATACGTCACATTTAAACCTTACTCTTTTATCTCTATTTATGCTTTCCCTTCAAGTTTAGCTAAATATCAATAGATAATCCGCTGACCAGAAGGTAACAACTCTGAAGCAGCATGACAAAGTAGCTCAACTTCCAGAATTGATGGACTTAGCTTGTTCTATCTTTCAACTGTTCTCATTGCTCTTTATGGTCTTTTTTCATTATGACAAAAAAAATAAGTCATTTATAAATGATTTTCTTAATTAGAATTGTCTCAACGCAATGGGAAGACAAATGATTTTTTTTTTTTTTTTTAAATCAGTGGATAACAGAGAGAAAAGGAAAACATTTTCTAACAAAAAACAGGCACATGTTTCAAACTGCAATGCTCTAAACTACCTTCTGCGGTTGAGGTGAGATAACAGGCCTGCCCTTAGTATCCCATGGTGAGTCCGCCTTGTGTTCTGCTAGTTCCTTTGGTGTGCTAGAATGAGGTATAGGAGCATCACTTGCAGGTATCTCTATCCTAAAATTTCCATGGTTCAATTTCAACCTGGGAAACAAAGAAAGAAATCAAGCAGTGCGCAATGTAGCAGACACAGAAATTGAAAGCCACCAAAAAGAAGAAGTTGAAGCAAACCATCTGTCGTGAGGGCCATCTTTCAAAACAAACTCAACGGCATGTACATTAGGATCTCGCAGCTCAATGATCACCACATGTATCTGACCATGCTGCAATCATACATACATACATACATATATATATATATTTGCAAGTTAACGATATGAGAAGGATAAATTATAACCAGCTTTATCAGGAAACCAAATTTTAGAAAGACAACCTTCGTGAATTGTGACTGCAAAGCACCATGCTTGTAAGACTTCCCCCCTGAAGAATCATCAGCCGCAATAAACCAATTCCTGGAGAGGCCATGTCATTGGGTAGAAAATATTGTTTATCCATTCAAATTAGAGTCTTTTTTTCCCAACACAAATTAGAGTCAATTAACGTCCTGGCCTTCAAAATATAACCCTTGCATCCACTGAACATTGATAGGTCATTTTTAAACCAATCTATAGATTTTGCTCAAGCAAGGGCCTAAACTGATGCAAACTTGAAGGATTAATTTTAGTTATTAAGTCATGTTCAAAAACATAACGTAGTTTTAAAAAAAAAAAAATCATAACGTAGTCTGTATTTCATAGATTTAAACAAGCCTTTAGATGATTTGTTGTTAACCAGAACGGCAGAACCTATAGGCGATGGAATTAACATATATAGATTTTCTCTTTGTGAATAAAATGCTAAATGATTTTTGCCATACTTATTCCCGCGAAAGAGAAAACCCCAGTGAAGAATCCAAGTCCTCGTACAATTCTTGAGCTTAAATTCAATTCTCGTGTTGTGCTTCCCCGCAGATCCAGATATATTAATCTGGAAAAACGAACGAACGGCATTAATCTTTGTGATTTATTTTAGATTTTGGATGTGCCAAAATCGTCGTTCAGAAATGAATGGAACCCTTTTACCTCGAGTTGCATTCCGTCTATTAGATCAAAATGACGAACTCGAGGGACCTGACTATTGTTGCCAGCGCTGGACGACGCCATTGCAACCCTCTTCGCGACAAAATGAACCAACTGGGTTCCGAAGTGTCTAAGACCAACGATGCCATTTATATGAAACCTAGCCGCTTATATCAAGTTTAATTACATAGAGAATCGTGTTCGCAACAGCAAAATCCAACAATCGATGCCCTCCTGATTGTGACTTGCAGAAGGAACATCTCTTCATAAACCGTAGATCTGAAAACCCTAAAGTACAAAAAGTAGGGTGTGAATTTCTGTAACTTGAAAATTAGTGAGGTCATGGAAAAGAACTGGATGCTTCAGCTGTAACCGTGTCCTTTAAAGCGACGAGGGAAAAGGAAAGATCAAGGAACAAAAAACCGGACCGGATACTAAACCGGTTGAGACACTGGTTTAAGGGTTAGTGGGTCAGATCCGGGTCGGACCGGAATCAAACCGGTGATAATTAAAATAATATAATTTAGTTAAAATTGATAAAAATATTCATATTCTAATTATAAAAAATAATATTTGATTTTTAAATGGGTAATCATGTTACAAAATATTATGTATATAAATGATTTTCATTTCTCTTTTTATTTTTTTCTTTGTTCTTTCCTGTAACCGAATGAGATCTTTTTTTTCTTTTTGTTTTTAAATTTTTTTACCATTTCTTTTTTCTTCCTCTTTCTTCTCTCTCCCACGTGCACACCCCTTTTCCATATTCTTCCCCATATCGCGCATCACGAAGCAAGCTTTGTTTCTTCTTTTTGCCTTGGACAGTGAACAAGTAGTAGAATAGGCTATCAGCTATGAGTATTGCCTCTCTGAGCACGCATCATCATTTTCCTTCGCCTCTCAAATTGCTTCTGCCTTCTTCACTTCTTTCTTTCTCAAATGAAGAAACAGCAAACTCTATCCTCATTTTGTCTCTGTACACTTCATCCATTCATTCTACTCTTTCTATTGTGTTTTTGCTTGTCTTCCAGTTTTCTATGGGTATGAGTGGCGCAAGCAAAGTTCTATCTTCCTCCACCTTTGTGATCTGCTCTGTTTCTACCACGTCTCTCTACAGTATTCATTGTCTCCGCAAATGGTGAGGCGTCCGGCGAAAGTGAGAGCAAGAAAGAAGGGGGAAGAAAACAACCGGCCGGCCCAATAAAACCGGCGGTTTTGCCCGGTTTTTTACCGGTTTTTTCCGGTTCGTTCCGAGTCAATTCCGGGTTGATTGAGGGCCGGTTTTTAGCTAAACCAGACCGGACCTCAGACCGGTTTACCGGTTTTTTTCGGTTAAAACCGGCCGGTCCGGTCCGGTTTTTCCTCCTTGGGAAAGATCGATTATCATTCACGCACAAAGTTTTTTATCCTGCAATTGCCACCAGCGATAGATAGGAATCCCACAAACCAGTGTGAATTTATCCCGAAACCTTGCAAGCTGGCACATTGAATCATGAGAAAATTATAATAAGATCTCACGAAAAGAATTAAATAAAAAAAATATTTTAAATTATTAAATTATTCTGTCAAAATACATTGTTACAAAAAATTTTTATTTATTTAATTATTAAAATTGTTTTTATTTTTTAAATATGTGGTTGATAACTGAACGAGTAGTCATTAATAACTTAAAATATAATGATTAATAACTATCGCGATAGATATTAATAACATATCTTTTCAAGGCATTACAAAAATGTAATATATGAGTTATCAAATATATATCACAATAATTTTAATCGTTCACTTTAAGTTATTAACGACTGCATTTTCAATTATCAATGTATACTGTTAAAAAATATAAAAATAATTTGATAATTAAATAAATAAAATTTTCTTATAATGAAATCTCTTAGATTTATATTAATTTGATGATTTTTTTAAAAAAATTGTATTTAATTCTTTTAGGTAGAACTTTATTATATTTTTTAAAAAATTATTTTATTCATTGGCATTAGCGTTTTCCTCACGCCAGCGAAGCTGGCATATTAATTATTCAACAGTTGATTTTGAACACTACTAATTATTTTTAAATCTTTAAAAAATATTATTGATATAAAAAAAAGAGAAAATTATAATGAGGTCCTAAAAAATAATAACTATACCAAATAAATTTAAAAAATCATTATTTTTACTTACTCTGAAACTTGTTATTTTAAAATTGTTATTAAGATTTTTTAGTAATTATGTTTCTTCTTTTGGGACTTATTATAATTCTCCTATTAAAAAGTGATTTTTTTTTAAGTTTAAATGCGAGCAGGGTTTCAAGAATATTATGAGCATGGATTGGAAAAAATACTTTATGCATTTTGTGTATTAAACATTTATCCAATATCACAGTTTTAATCCTAAATATAAGTCACTTATAATATTTTTAATACTTATTTTATTTTATTTTTATTAGAAAAAAGAGAGAAGGGAGAGATTTAAGAATAATTTGTAAATGTAGAGAGAAAAGTTTTAATAAAAATAAAATAACTAATTCAACGCCTCATAACATACCAGAATGTGGCACAAATGACTTATATTAAGAATCTATTAAAAAATCGAAGTAGTGTATAGAAGTTTAAGAATGATAGTGTATGAGAATGTTCATTAAAAACATGGCATTTAAAAATTGGAAGATTAGGCCACCAATTACAATATTAAAGCAACAGTGTAAGAGACCATCACTTGGCTGAAACGTTGGCCTAAAAACGCATTCATGTTTGAGGTTGTGGTGCTGCTTGCGAGACGCTCCCTATTTTTTTTTTTTTGAAAAAAATTACAGAAAAAGACAGCTGAAAATAAAAAAATTGTAAATAAGAACCTATTAAAATATTAGTATGTGTTTTGACAAAATATTATGAATCTTGACTATATTTTTATGAACAGGTCCTTGTATATAATTTTTAATTTCAACAGTTTTTTTTTTTGTCAATCCAAGCTACACATTAGTTTGCCGTCATAATATTAGCTTGTGATGAAATCACTGTTTTTAACTAATTTTTACATTTATTGAGCACTTCAAGTTATTCAAATTTGGTGTACAGGAGCTCGCAAGGTCCCAGCACGTTTAGGAAGAGTTTGGTAAATAGTAAAAGCACTTAAAAAAAATATATTTTCTACAAATCAAGACAAAATTCTCACAGACTTATTTTATATACTGTGAAATCATTTCTTAAAAAAGCTAATGCAAACACCCTTTTAACTATGAGGAAGGCAATCAAACTTCATTTAGTTACCTCATGAAATATGTGAACAGAAATGCATAAAATATCTTTCTCTATGACTCTTACTTCCTCCCCTGTTCAATATCTTCACCAATCTTGACATTTGGATTTAACAGATAACTTAGCTCCTAAACACAAAGCCCACGAGCAAAAGGATTCATGTATTGATGATCAACAAAAAGTCTAAAGTAGACTCATCTACTACCCATTGAGTATACTCACTTTCAC